GCGTGTCGTAGCAGGACTACCCCTTAACAGCTCTGGATTTGCGCAACTGCCGCCCCATTTTATCACCACGACGACGCAATTGTCGCCAGCGCCGTCCGATGCAAGTTTCCTGGCCTTTCGAAGAGCATCGCGATTTTGGAGTCCTGAAACTCAGTTTGGCCAATTACATTTTCGCATATATTGTCCAGGCTTGAATTAATTCCACTTACAAATGCCTAGTGATTAAATTTGAGAAATTATTTGTTCAAACAAGTAGGGAAAACGTAATGCAGATTGCACTCGTTTGAGCATCAAGTTAGCTTCTACACTGTACTAGTAATGTCTTGGTCCAAGACAGTACTTTTTGGCGTACTAGTACGCCATGGTGCTAAGTTTCCTGGCATTCGCACTTCGGCTCCGTGACTACCACGCAACCACGGCATTGGAGCCTGCGCACTCGATCCGCCCTCCTAAGCGTACGAAACATACACTTAGGAGGACGTACAGTACAGTACAGTAGTACGAGACGACCCTTGAACCTGGCTACACTACCACGACCACCACCACCGCTCCTGCGGCCACAGCGTATGCTCGCCAAATAGCGCTTGCAACCCACACCCACCGAACCTGCCAACCCAACTTCTTTGACCTCAACTTCTACTCTCGTAGTATGGCACAACAACAGCTATCCCTCCATTAACCCCCTCACAGCTTCACTGTCGAGATCAGGAGTAGACATAGTAATGAACCCCAGTCACGGTTTCTGGATCCCCAGCAGTCACAACTACCGTTCCCCGGCAAAGACCACTATCGTTACTCTGGAGCGTGGGTGGTGGAGTGATGGAGCACTGACTGGTAGTCTAAGTGCACCCCTACGCTCCAGAATAATGCCCAAAAACGTTACCCCAGTGACTACGATTGCTGCACATGTGGCCACCACATCACTCCATTGTACATGCAGTACATCATCACCACTTGACATGTCACATCGACTCTGTGCTCTCTACATTGACCACTAACGGCCATCAAGTTTTCACACTCATTTGTACGTAGAAGTGTATATGATGGCGTGGAGGTGACATGCACAGCGCTTGTGATCACCAACACTGCGCATGTCACCATCAAATACACTCCTAAGTGCAAGCTCCATCCTTCTAGACTACCGCACTGCAGCACATGCGCGCGCTCGGGTGATAGAGAGCGTATAAATAACATTACCGCGTAATTTCATTTCATTCTTAAGTTGTGTGAAAACGGATTGCGAAGTGTGGCAATGATTGTTGATTGTACCATTTGATGGGGGGGTCCCATCGGTGTGCAAGGAAGCGTTGGAGGATGACTGATGCTAAGAGGAACAACCAATTCACTAATTTCCCATGCTACGTGTTTATTTGTAGTCGCTAGCTAGATCAACCGCCTTCTCTTAGTAGTGCTTTACAGCGAGGTCACGACCGCGGCGTGCATTTTGAAAGGCACGACGTCTTTGTGATGAAGGTGCTTACTAGTAATGGAAAGGCGTTGGACAAGCTGGTGTGCGAACTTCCACCAATCCTATGGGTAGAGGTTGGTACAGACAACTACATACATGCACAAGTGATGCCAAGTGGGTTTTCCAACCATATTTATAATCCTGTATACCTAGTAAGTTCTGATACCACCACCAACTCGTTCATCGCAAAACGATACGCATGTGCTTTGTGGATATTGCACTCCGAGCCTCTGTGTATTTATGTCCAATCAAAACCATAAGTTCGAGACCGATTTCGTGCCATCCACCCTGTCGATTATAAGTGGTTTGTACCTGTTCAGTAGTATTGTCAGTAAGGTTGGAATGACCAGAGTAGTAGCAGATGAGCATATGGAATGAGTTCGACGTACTGTACTACTAGTATGATACTAGCAGTGCGTAGTAGTACTACGCTCCGATGTGGAATCTACCGATAGTTCTACTAACTTACTACTAGTACTAAGTACTACGTAGTATTAATAATACTACGTATTATAGTAATAAGTACTTCGTACATAGTATTTCGAAGTGAAGTTGCACACATAATACTAGTACTAACGTTAGTATTGCATAGTCAAATAACTCACGTGGAGAAACTATCCAAACAAAACAGCACCTTGTGCATTCGTGTAAAATACCACGAGTACGACTTACACGATCACGTCGAGCCTTGGAACGTCGGGTACAGTAGATTATAGTTTGAAAACTAGGTACATCGCGAAACCAGACGCCATTATGGCAAACGTCCGCAGGTCATTCTTCGCATCATGTCCAGCGCTTCTTCGTTGGGAAAAAACCATTACATGTTGTTGTGCGCTACCGATAAGGAATACATCGAGCGAGAACTACATGATAGTATAATGTTAGGACTAATTTCTACTTGGGGCTACCTTACATACTGTTCTAGCAACCGTACAACGTTCGACACACATGGACATTCTGCATGACGACTCTTTCATTGATCGTGTTTCTACTGCGAGTGTGAAGATGGGCATGGGTTGAAAGGACGACTAACATGTAAATGTAATTGTAGATGGCTCGGTCTGCTGAGGTCCGGCGTTCCCATCCATTCCGTTACTATGTACAGTACAAACTTCCAAAATTCCTCAACCAAAATTCCTCAATTGAAAACGCACCATCCACAAACAACTCCTGTGAAACTTCCAGTTAACAGTAAGTTTCACAGGGATATTGACTTTTGCAAAATCACCCTATTGTCATTTTACCCAAAATTTGGACTTTTATGCTGAATCGCCAAATCTATCGATCGATTCTTTGTGCTGACTGTGAATTTTGTACATAAAAAGGTGGCCTGTGGAGATTGGTATCACACTAATTTGACATTGATGATGGTTTCCTGAAGTCTGATTGGCTAAGTCCTTCTGCCTATTCTTCTGTAACGTTACATTTGGTTCCGTCGATTCATTCTTAACACAACAATAATACTGCGCAAAATTTCCAGTGATGTGCCGAATTTTATACTTGAAGTGAGTATTGATTGTGTAAAAAACAGATGAGAAGACAGGAATTTGTAAAATGATTAAGGAATATTATATTTGAACAGTAATAAGATAGTATGGGCGCCCCGCCACCAAATTGGTCGGTTTGGCTTAGCACACTCACCGTACCACATGCCAATGTTCTTCAGCTGGGTCAAACTCACACCAAAATAAAGGCAAGTTCAAGGTCCTGCATAGTATGGGCGCACCACCAGCATTTCACAGAGAGGCAAGCAAATTTAGTTTCTCATATTACAATTTTCCTCCCCTGGTGCCCATTGCGGGTGCCTGCAGCGTAATGTTCGTCACCACCAAGTGCGCCTGCGTCCGCTTAGTACCCCAGGCTGTAATCCTTCTCTACAACGGAAGTCGGTAAGGGGGCAGGGCAATGGTTAGCCAGTGAAGATTATTCTTCGAGGTGGGCACGGTGCTTTTGGAAACTTGTGATATCCCCCAAATATTAATAAATACTATTTTTTCGTCTTGTGTTCAGATTAATAATAGCATTCATATT